TTGGCCAGCGGCCCAGCATTTCGAACTTGTCACTCAACCTAAGATGTGGCAGACAGCAGTCTGTCGGCTGGCAGCCATTTAATTTCAATAACGGTGGAATTAAGGGACTCGTTCATTGCTGTGAAGGAGTCGGTTCTATTGTGGCATACTGACATGTGCCTTACTTTGAATTTAGTGATGTTTCAAGTACTTGATATGATTAAATTACCAGTTTTAGTAATTTAATTAAAATCTGTTAGCTTATTACGTATACTGTGGGTTAAACACACACAAACACACATAAACTCATACTCACATAAACATAGCATAGCATGAATCGACGCAGATGATTAGGCCGACGAGGGCCTGTCGTCGAGTCTCGTCGTCTTGCATCAAACACAAACTGCTACAAAAATGGCCACATGGCCACGTCAAGTCCAAAAATGTTGGCAACGTGCGCTCCCTAAGAGCGCCCAGTCCGATTGTCCAGCGGTCACATTCTGATGGGAGGTTCTTCCACACTGTACATATAAATACGCATAACCGAGTCAAATCAATTCTTGAAGGCGTTCAACGTAGTCGCCTCGGCCATCTCCGTTGACAGTTCGTTCCACCGATCAACCACGCCATGAGAAAAGAAGTGCCTCCTCGCAGTAGTATTACACCCTAGTTTCTTTATTTTAAACTGATGGCCCCTGGTGATCCCCTCAGTGTCTAGCGCGAATAAATTCTCATTCCGGTAATAGCCATGAGTGTATTTGTAAGTTTCTATAAGGTCGCCACGAGTTCTCCTATATGCCATACTAGGAATGTCCATCCTCTCCAGGCGTTGCTCATAAGCCACATCCTTAAATCCTGGGACGACTCGAGTTGCTCTCCTCAAAACTCCTTCAGACTCCAAATACTCTAGACCTAGTGTTTACGAGTGAAGAATCAATGGTAGAAGAGCTTCGCCACGAGGCTCCGTTAGGCAAAAATCACCACCAGTCATTGTTTTTCAGTATTAAGTGCTATACAGAAAAGACGCCTCGGAAGCGTGAACGTTTCAACTTTGCTAAAGGCGACTATGTTAAATTTCGCGAATCAGTGAGTGCAGTGAACATTTCGGACTGTATCATGAACATGAATGTGGCGGAGTCTTGGTCATTCATCAAGAACATAGTTATTATGTCTGCAGTTGATGCGTGTGTACCTAAGATAAAGCTCGGTGGATTCAGAAAAACACAGTGGATAAACAATACGGTTAAAGCTAAGCTAAAAGCAAAAAAGGTAGCATACAAGCGTTATTTACGAACTCGTAGCGGTGCTGAGTATAACCTGTATGCAAGAGCTCGAAATCAAGCTAAAAAAGCTTGTCGCACAGCAGTCAAAATTTTTGAAAAAGACGTCGCCAAAAACTCGAAAAAGAACCCGAAAACCTTCTTCTTGTATGCTAGTTCGAAGTGTAAGACAAGGGATGGTATTGCTGATTTGAATGTAAATCAACGGAAGATATCTTCTGACGAGGGCAAGGCCAATGTTCTAAATCAGTTCTTCAGCAGCGTATTCACAGATGAGGACTTGAACAGTATTCCAGCTATTGAGGAGCGACCAGTGGACTCGAAGTTAACTAGTTTCGACATACATGAAGAGGAGGTTCTCAAGCGCCTGGTCTCCCTGAATCCCAACAAGTCATCTGGATCAGACGGTTTCCACCCTAGATTGCTCNATACTATACTATACTATACTATACTATACTATACTATACTATACTATACTATACTATACTATACTATACTATACTATACTATACTATACTATACTATACTATTCTATACTATACTATACATATACTATACTATACTATACTATAATATACTATACTTTACTTTACTATACTTTACTATACTATATTATATCGGAAGTTCGGAGAGCTCCTTAAGCTAATGAAATACAAAATAAATTTAATCAATATTATTTTAGTTAGGTATATTCTGTAAGCTTATAGTTACAGGTATTAATTCGTATTGTATATACGAAATAACTTAAAGAAGTGCAACAAATAAATTAACCTCCGTGCACTTCCATATATTTTGCTTCAAGTGTAAGTTAAGTTGGTCGTCCGTAAAACGAATTAAAATTCAAAGATATATTTATTCAACCAAAAAATCTTGTAATTTCATAGTTCGCAAATAATAATCAAATTTTCATTCGTTGCGTAATCGTGATACGTATGTTCCGTGATAACTTCATCGCAAAGGACTCTTGAATTTTATATAGTTTACAGAAATGGCTTCCAGCAATCCTTACAAACCTGTCCGCGATGAACCTCATCAGTTGCCAGAGGAAGATGAGCTGATGGCTGAGGAGAGAGCTGAGTTGTTAGTTCAGTTGGAAAGTGGAAAAGCTCGACTGGATGCAGAGCGTTCACGTCTCAATGAACAGCATGAGCAGGTGAGATCCGACGCTCGAGTGTTGTTGGCCCAAAGGGTTTGAGTGAACTTACAAGAGAAGGAACTTCAAAGCGAGATCCTCGAAATGCTGATGGTTGAGCCCGAGCTGCAGGACGAGTACATCGTGAGGCTAGCGTTGAGGGCAGGGTGGCCCAGTGGTTAAAGTTCAGAGTACCAAGATTGACGCACTAGAGAGGCGCGGGTTCGATCCCAGCTCTGTGCGACAGTTTCTGGTCAGAATCGGCAAGGAGGCCGGGCGGTTAAGCACAGCAGAATTGTAGCAGTGAGTTGTGAGTTCGAGACCTCAAAATGCTGTGAATGTTCTGCTATGTTAAGAATCGGCGACAGGCCTACGGCCTAATAAACGCTGAAACCGATATTATTATTTATATTATTATAGCGTGCGATCTGGTGTCGCGGCGGCAAGATGTCAGCGTCAGCTAGAAGATGTCAGCGTCCAGCAAGTAGATGACCAGCCCCCATCAAGAAGATATCAGCAATCAGCAAGGAAATGCCAGCACCCAGCCAGTAGATGCCCAGCCCTCACCAAGGAGATGCCAGTTCCCAGCAAGGGGAAGAGTTAGGGAGCGGGGTAGATGAACGGATTTCCTTCGGGGAAGCTAGCCTCGCCCGGACTCACGGGCAGTCTATGGCAGCCAAAGCAGTGGCTAGAACAGCTTTACATTACCTTCCAAGAGTGTCATCCCTCTATTGGGAATGTAGTTTGAAGATTCAAGAAATCAAGAGGAATCAGGCCGAACTGTAAAATTCTTTACTGGAAATGTCTTCCACCGAGGGAGGCGATGACAAAAAGAAACTTGCTCGGCTAGACCACACTGACGTGGACCAACGCGGGGCAGAGGATGAAGGAAAGTCGTCGCATTCACGCTAATTGCACCTCCATATAGAACGGATAAATCAATGCAATGCTGACATACCCTGCGTTACGGATCTGGGATCCGAGGGCGATTTGACCTGCCTTTCGACGACTTGTATGGAGACGGAGGACGACGAAGGTGGAGCATCAGCTTGACCATGGACTGAGAAGTCCTAAACTCATCATAAGGTCACAAGGTCATATATATATATGTATAAGGATCGTAGAGAACAAGCCCTATCAGCTGCTCGAGCTGCATTACGTAGGGTCGCTGGAGCCGCGATGCGATACCAATACGGCCACCGGGAGCAGCTTGAGCTTGCGCTGAACAACCTCAGCTGCTGAACGAGATGAATGAGATGATATTTGTGGAGCATCATCGGCAAAGAGGACAGGCGATGATGGACAGAACAGATGAAAATAGTACATGAAGAGTATCATCGGTTGAGGGGAAGTGGTAATTATGGACAGAGCAGATGGAGACGTTGCATGAAGAGTATCATCGGCTGAGAGCACAAGCGATGATGGACAGGGCTGATGGAGATGCTGTATGAATGTATCATCTTGTATAGATGTATACATGGGGAAATGTATATATGACAGAGCTGATGGAGACTGAGAGCACAGAGTATATATGGACTGAGTATCATCGGCTAGGAGGACAAGCAATGATCAGCAGCAGGGACGAGGGCGAAGACCAAGTTCCTATAGGCCGGCTTGGATGCACCATTGTTTTTGTAAGTATTTCATATAATTTTTTGGCGTAAGTATTTTATGTACCCCTGTATTTGTGTGTACTCTATGTTCCCTTGTAATTGTAAGTACTTCATGGATCACTGTATTTGAAAGTTTGTTCAATGCAGCTGCTATAGAGGAGCTACGCGGTTGCTGTAGACGAGCTATTTCTTCTTTCAATGTTCACACTTGTAAAAATTGTGATAGATCTCGAGAACATTTTTTTTATTTCATATTATTTTTTAAAAATAATTATTACTTATAATTTTTTTTGGCTGCGAAACTCTCAAGGATCAAATTATTTGAAATATTAACAAATAATCAATGTAATTAACGAAGCATCTGTTTGCAGCGCATCCAATTACAGGTGCTGCGATGCAGATTACAGCTGCTGCAGCTGCATCCGTTCATAGATAAGAATGTCTAAGGACTTTACGGCTGCACGATGTGGCAGTATTTCACTTAAGGCTGTAGAAGCTACTTGTATTTATCTTCATTTCTTTAAAGCACTTTTTGAAATTTTTTCTAAATATAATTAATAGTCTTTAAAAATTTCATCATTCATCCAAGTGATAGAAAATATAGCACTGATCTGATGATGTCTTTCGATAATTAACTGAAAAGTCATAAATGGCATAAATATCATTACACTATATGCGAGTGACTTCAAATTTCGAGAAAAATATATTTGAAGAATCATTCATTCTCAAAGATTTAAAAAAAAGTGAATAGATCCATAACCGAATTCGATTGTTTGCATAAACATGGGCTGTGCAAAATAACGTCTAGTCCTGTTGATAATCTTATAGGTTGTATTTGTTAATGATATTAAACGAAAGCATTTACAAATTCATGAATATCTTACAATAATCAACTTATTCGGTTTGCAATAACATATTAAATTTAATTATTAACACCCAATGAATGAAGAAGCAGTTGAAATTAACCCAAAAATATTTTCACCACAGCATTTTATTATTTCAGTGGGCCAGCAAAATTGGACAAGTTTCGTAAGTGAAAGTTCTATATTTCTCCATCTAGATCAATACCATTAAGAAATATTTTTGACTTTCTGTTGTTGTTGTTGTTGTAAATTTTTGAAGAATTTGAATCAAAATGGCGAAGGAAATTAATTGGATTGGTTTTTTCGTGCTGCTGAAGTTTGTTTTTGCCGTCGCGGGAAATGCTGAAACCGTGGACGATTCAGCGGTTTCAGTGCTGCTGAAAAGTCGGATTTCAAGTTTCGTCGATGACGTCAAACCTCGCGCGAAACCAGATCTGTTTCAAGGGAAGGTTTCTGGTTTTAAAAATAACATAAATTCAGACTTCAACAAACAAAAAATTCGTTATGAGCGACGAGCCGAAATTGAAGAAAAAATTCCCGTCGGAAATTCGCGAGGAAATCGCATTAGACGCCAAGTGAATGGCAGCGAGCCAATGGCAGCGCTGGAGTGTGGCAGGACTTGCCACTGCTACAGGATAAACAAGACCATTTATGAAGAGGAATATCGCGTCATCTGCAACAACACCGCTCGCCAGGTATGAAAAATCGGGAAAATTTTGACGGGTAATTTAAATAATTATCATTTGATGAATAATTAAGGTTAGGTTAGGTGAGGATAGGTTAGGTTAGGTTTTGGCGAGAAATTTTTAGAAATTTTGACTGAAAATTTAAATAATAATTCGATTAAAAATAATTGTAATTAATCATTAATTATGTGAGGTTTTATGGTGCATGTGATGCATATATAATAAAGTAATATTATTCAAGATGAAAAACGTCACGTTTTGATTTGAAATTGAGTTCAAGATCAAGATATGATAATTGATGAGACGCGTGGTGTATGTAAATCATAATAAATTAATTAGGGACGAAAACGCATCAAGTTTTTATTAAACATTCAAGCTAAGATAACACAATGTATGATAAACGTCGTCATTCAGGTAACACATGGAGTCATGCAGAAGCTGAGTGATTCAGCTGAGTGATTCAGCTGAATGAGTTACTAAATTTTCTACACGTTGTTTGAGAACCACGTATGTTTAAGAACCACGTATGTTTGAGAACCACGTATGTTTGAGAACCAAGTATTTATGAGAACCACGCATGTTTGAGAAGCACTTATGTTTAAGAACCACGTGTGTTTGAGAACCACGTTCTCAACATGCGCGATTCTCTCGTATATTTGAACTTCAAACTCTCTGAACTTTATTTTGAAATTTCTATCAAATTTTCTTCTAGTAATACATATGAAATTTATCATCTCTCTCGGAATAATCATTTCTTTTTGTGTCTCAAGTCTTCAATGCTGGAATGTGCAACGTTCTATCAAGCTATACACGTTGAATTGATGAATTTAATTAGTCAAGTTATACACGTTGAATTGATGAATTTAATTAGTCTAGTTATACACGTTGAATTTGACGAATCAAATTAATCAAGTCATACACGTTGAAATAATTAATTAATTTTAAAAAGTTATACACGTTGAATTAATCAATTAAATTGATAAAGTTATACACGTTGAACTATTGAAATAGTTTAATCAAGTTATACACGATGAATTAATGAATTGAATAATCCAAGTTATACACGTTGAATTAATTAATTAAATTTATCAAGTTATTTACGTTGAATAAATGAAGTAATTTAATCAAGGTATACGCGTTGAACTGATTTTAAAGCATATTGACAAATTATACAGCTATGCTTTATCAATTCAGCCACCGTTTACTCTCCAGCAAGCTGTGTATTCACACGCATAAATGTGGGATTTGTAGTAATGTTGTAGCGGGAGAACTAAGCTCCATACACAATGTTACTGGGTCTCTGCAAGCGGGCCCTAACGTAGGAAGATGAATCCAAATGGATCAGCAAACTTTCACAGGTCCTCAAGGTATATTTAAAATTCACGGAAAACCGGCATCCATGACACAGGACTATCACTGAATGCATATAGGTTTAAAAATACAGACATTATATGGACATTAATTACAGATATTTACAGTCATTACAAAGTGTGGTGAGTCGGGTAAAGGTAGGCTGCCTATTAGCAATCTGCTGTTTCCCTAGACAACTATCTACGCATACTTTTTCTCGTCGGTCTTCGTTAGAGAGGTGCGGCGGCTGAAGAAAACTAATAGCGCGGCCAAAGCTGGCCCGCTATAATGTGTACATTGTATTCCCACATTACGATAATAAAACCTGGCTTTTCCTTCAAATCTCAGGATAAATCATTTATAAAATTTTGGAATCCTAAGATAATATTTATCAAATCAAATTTCCTTATGTAATATTCACTAATTATAATATAACATACAAACGCGTTTAGTTTATAAGTGAAAAAAAGACCCTCAATCAAGCGTTTGCAGAAGCTTAATTATGTTGATTATAATATTTTAATATGAAATGAATTGTATATTATCATTTTTAATAGCATTATATGTATATTATTGTGTAATATTTATTAATTATTTTAATATTTAACTAAAACGATCATGCAATTTCAATGCCGAGCATAAGTATAGCNATCCGTTCCCTCAACCTAAACATATTTATTTCCAAGTTATTCTCTCAATCGATCTCTGTTTCTCAAATTTTCCATACCTATAACCCTGTCTCTTATACACATCTAGATGTGTATAAGAGACAGGGGCAATACAAGCCCACTCTCATACGGAAAGGGGGCAATACAAGCCCACTCTCATACGGAAAGGGGGCAATACAAGCCCACTCTCATACGGAAAGAGGGCAATACAAGCCCACTCTCATACGGAAAGGGGGTAATGCAATCCCACTCTCATACGGAGAGTGGGCAATGCAGGCCAACTCTTATATGTAGAGTGGGCGATGCAAGCCCACTCCTCACATAACTTAGAGCACCGCTGTCAAAAAATCGATATAATTTTCCACTCATTCACCTTTTTTTTGCTAATTGTAACCCACTGCTGCGTCCGCTCACTGCTCGTTCCATGATCAAGAAAGTGTGTCACTATTTGGACAATATAAGCCATTTATTTTTTTGAGTGTATAGGCAAACTTTTTTCAGAAGGAAAGTGTGTCACTAATTGGACAATATAAATCATTAATTTTTTTGAGTGTATACGCAATTTTTTTTAAAAAGAAGGCGTGTCACTATTTGGACAATATAAGCTATTCATTTTTTTGACTTTGTACGTAAATTATTTTTCAGAACGAAGGCGCGTCACTTTTTGGACAATATAAACCATTCATTTTTTTTACTATATAAGCAAATTGTTTTTCAGACAGAAGGTGTGTCACTATTTGGTCAATATTTCATTATTTCATTCATTCATTATTCATTTCATTCATTTTTTTCAGTATATACGCAAATTTTTTCCAGACTGTGCTGCTGACGTCATCGGTGTTCGGGGGTGAAGCTCCCCCCTCCCTCAGCCTGCAAGTGTACGTGCGGGTCGTGGGTGTCACGGGGCTGGTGGTGACCCGTGGCTTCGTGGGGAGGTGGGGTGCCCACACCTCCTGCGCCCTGGACCTGTGGGATGTGGGGGATATTGTCCTCCCCCACGGCCCCATCCCTAGAGCCCCCACGGAGGCCTACACGCATGTTTTTGCAGGTTAATTTTAACATTTTTTTAAGATGAATTCTAAAATTTTTTCTGCAGTTTTTTTGCAGATAGTTTTCACTAACATTTTTTGCACAGTTTTTGCAGGTGAATTCTAATATTTTTTAAAGATGAATTCTAATACTTTTTGCAGTTTTTTGCAGATCGTTTTCCCTAACATTTTTTTATTTTTTATTTGCACAGATTTTACAGGTGAATTCTAACAGTTTTCTAGCGTCTGAACTGAGATAGTGACATTAAATAGTGTAAATTTTTAATAATTGTGTTATAATATGATACAAATTTACCTATAATTTTCCGGCGTTTGAACCAAACCTCGAGGCAAATGGCATTAAAGCAACGTCAGTAACGAAGTATTTTCGGTGAAACAACGTTGATTACGAGTTATTTTCGTTTAAACAATGTTTATTACGAGTTATTTTCGTTTAAACAATGTTTATTGCGAGTTACTCTCGTTGAAACAACGTTGGTTACGAGTAATTTCCGTTGAAACAACATTGATTGCGAGTTATTTTCGTTGATGCAACGTTGATTACGAGTTATTATCGTCGAAATAACGTTGACTACGAGTTATTTTCGTTGAAACAATGTTGATTACGTGTTATTTTCGTTTAAACAACGTTGATTGCGAGTTACTCTCGTTGAAACAACGTTGGTTACGAGTAATTTCTCGTTGAAACAATGTTGATTACGTGTTATTTTCGTTTAAACAACGTTGATTGCGAGTTATTATCGTCGAAATAACGTTGACTACGAGTTATTTTCTTTGAAACAACGTTGATTACTGCTCTAGAATATTATTTAAATTTAAGTCATTTCGTTGAACTTAATTGCGCTCATTTATTGGTCGTGCCTGAATCCAAGAATCAATTTTATAAATGGATATTAGTTTTAAATTATTGTAAATCCTTTCGTCAAGTTGAGACAATCAGTTCTTCAATTAAAAATATTATATGCGAACTTGCATAACGTCGAAAAGTTGGACCAGAGGAATGATTTTTGAACATGCGTAGCTACCCATAGCTATCATTGCACATACATCAATTGATCATGGAATAAATTCTTATTCGAATTGTATTCAAGAAGAATGACTGCTGCTTGAGGTTGATGTTTTTGAAGTGTAATTTTCAGTTTAAATTATCTGTCACTGTTTGTTTATAGAAAATTTGATGCCACATTTTCTTATTCAAACTAGGTCTTCAGAATTATTCTCCCATTTTCGATCCCAAAAGAAAGATCAATGGCGGGTGTTGGTTTCAAATTTTCGAAAATTTTACATCGTAAATGATTTGAAATTAACCATTGTAGAAAAAACACACTACGACAAGAACTCCGGTAAGATTTGCGTACATAAAAATGGTGGAAATAAATAGATGATTTTACACTGTTTACTCGAACTGAAAGAATCATTCTAGATGCCACATGGTGGCAATAATACTGTTGAAAGTGCATTTCAAGAGTTAGATTAATACATTAAACTTTACATCAGCTGATCATGATAATTCTCATTGTTCAGGTTTAGGAATCANTCTAGATGTGTATAAGAGACAGGGTGTTAGCGGCGCTTTTGGTTTTTAGGAAGAAGCAGGAGGGGCGTCGGAAGAGGGAGCTGGAAAGAGACAGAAAACCTTCGCTTATGTACATGCCGGGATCGTCAGTTTATGGTAACGATACATGGCCCATACCCTCAACCAACACATATTCTCTCACTTAGGTATACCTTCAACCAACACATATTCCCTCACTTAGGTATACCTTCAAACAACACATATTCCCTCACTAAGGTATACCTTCAAACAACACACATTCTCTCACTTAGGTATACCTTCACCAACACATACTCTCTCACTTAGGTATACCTCTAACAACACATATTCCTAAACTTAGGTATAACCTCAACTAACATTCATTCTCTCACCTATTAGATCTATCAATCGACACCTAATCCTTCCCAATCTAGCTCAACTAATTATTATTAATTTAACAGTTTTCCACTCAATCTTTCCCTCTTAACTAAAAAGTTGTACCCTCTACATACGCCTATCAATATAACATCCGTTCCCTCAACCTAAACATATTTATTTCCAAGT